AAGGACGAAGGCGTCCTGGGAGGGTGAACGGAAGAGACGATCTCTGCCTCGAGAGGTGAGCAGCGCAGGCGTGGGAGCGGGTTGCCCTCTCCTCCACCATCAGATTCGGTTAAACATGCGCCCCAACCCCAAGAAATCGCTCGTAACGACGTGCCAGTCTGCACACTACTACTGCCCCTCACCGGGCTTCTCTGCTTCCCCAGCCCCGTCAAACGCGGCTCCTCTCCCTCCGGCAGCCTGAAGCCCTCAAAAACCACAAGTAAAGTGCCAGAAAACCCCCGAGAAACCAGATCTGGTGGATGCAGGGCTTTTTAAGTCTCCTGTTTGGTTCCCAGCCCAGAGAGGCATCCGCGCATCGCATTTTCAAGCTGTTTGCAGCAGTAACGTTACAGGTACGTATTTGTTTTGAGCAGAAGCTCGATCCCCCCCCCCCCCCTTTGCTCAGATTTGGGCACTTTCAGAGCAACCGATCTGCAAATATCTAGCACGGAGGGTCTCTCACCTCCGCCGGGTTACTCCTAAAACGGTTTTGGATCCAGCCCAACCACCACACGCCACCAAAACCACAGCGGGCTGGAAATCGATCGGCAAGAGAGCGGCACGGCTATTTAACAGAGACCCTCATATTCGGGGAGGTGCCACACCCGGGACTGAGGACAATCGGCCACCTAGACCCTGCTGGGCTGCAAAAAGACGAGGTGGTCACCGAAGGAGGACGCAGGAGGTTGTCGCTAGGGGGAGGAACGTTCCTCCGTCTGCTCCCGCCTGCTGATCTCGCCCTGGCTTTTAGCTGGGAGGTGGCAACGCAACCAGTAAAGCAAAGGACAGACATCACAAGGGTCAAACAGAACTAATGCTGATTAGCAGAGAGGCTTTAAGGAGAAGGCAAAGCCCCCTGACAGAGTAGAAAAGGAGATTAAAGGACAGTTTCCCTGGAGCCCCAAGAAAAGTCTCCCAGACCACGATTATAATCCCATTCCCTATTTTTAGCAGGTTCGTTACAAAGCTGCAACTCCCACCTCTCTCAGTTTTGGGACGCTTTCTGAAAATCCGGCCCAGCTGCAGCAACACAACAAGCGTTTCACTCTATCTGAGAGCGGGCAAACGCGCGGCACCTCGATGCCTGCGAGCAGCCCCAAGGGCGGGACGTCCCCTCGGCCGCTCAGATGGCGCCGGCTGCTCCGACGGCCCCAGCCCCGGACCCACGCTCGTTCAGCCGGGGAACGGGTAAGGGCTTCATCTGCAGTTTCCCAGCACGCAGAGACGGTGGGGGGAGAGCTGGGCTGGGAGGTCCTGCCCCGACAGCCAGCGGGCTGCTTAAATAAATAAATACTGCAAATAAATAAATTTGCAGTACAGAACCGGGAGCAGGGCATCCCCCCGGCGGTGCCCAGAGCCGGTGGGGCCACTCAGCCACCTTCTTCCTGGAACTAATCACCTACAAAGCGCTAATTGGTCCTTCCCTCCACCGGCCGCACCGATTCGCGTCGCTCGCTTCGCAGGGAGCAATGATGCAGCAGGAGGAACGAGAACCGCTTGCTCAAGGTCACTGCAGAAATCACCTCGGTCCAGGCCACAGGTGAGGCCAGGAGCCACTCCAGGAACTGGTCCTGCTGCGGAACTGGACCAGTTTAACCAACCAACTGGTTTGGAGCCACTCCACCCGGTGGAGAAGGTCTGCAGAGGTGAGGCTCGGACGGGTGCGGTTTTGCCATCCGCTCCCCCCTCACGTACGTTGTGTTTCAGCTCACGGAGCATTGTTTCTGGATGCCTGAAGGGTGCTTACCCCGCGACCCCCGTCTCATAGAATCATAGAGTCATTAAGGTTGGAAGAGACCTCCAAGATCATCGAGTCCAACCGTCAACCCAACACCCCCATGCCCACTAAACCATGTCCC